ACAGGCCAAGCCCATCAGCCCATTAGAGGCTGGAGGCATCAGAGGCAGGGGGTGTGCATGTGGGGGGGGGGGGGCCTGGGGACGCGGGGGCACTGGGTCCCACCCACTTGCTGTTAGGGCAGGGGCCTCGGTATGTTCTCCCCATGCTGGGCAGGTCGGACAGAAGTCCGGCCCCTGAGCTTCAGGGAAGAATTTGGCAGACTCTGAGCTCCTGACTCAGGCATGTACTTCCCGCCAGTGTGGAGCTGGCTACCCGTGTAGGCACATCGGTCATAACCACAAGCCACCTGCGGCCGCCACAACCTGGATGGCTTTCATCAAACAGCAGAAATGTGCTATTGGGATTCCACAGGCTGGAAGTGTCAGATCAAGGGGTCATAGGGCTGCCCTTCCTCTGAGGCTCTGACGAGAACCCTGGCTTCTCCCTCCCAGCTCCTGGCGGCTGCAAGCCCTCGGCGTCCCGTGGCTGGTGGGCACGTCCCCCCAGCCTCTGGCTCTGCCTTCCCACAATGTCCCCACCTGTCTCTGTGTCTCTTTTCCTGAGTCACACTGGTTGGGGGCCCACCCTCCTCCAGGATGACCTCATCTTGATTCCACCTGCAATGACCTTCCAAACAAGGTCACGTTCCTGGGCACCAGGGATTAGGACACAGCATATCACTTTGTATCATAAGTGAGGGGGACACAAGTGAACCCACCGCACACCTTGAGGAGGAACCTATCATCTTCTGTTCAGGATGCTAACTCGCCCAAATAATTTGGAAGCACATGTCATGTGTACTGACAGAGCCCATGTCTGCAGTTCCAAACTACAGCGCCGATCGGAGCAGATATAGCATATTTCTCAAATTAGTCATTCTTTTTCTTTTTAATGTTTATTTGTTTATTTTGAGAGAGAGTGTGTGTGTGTGTGCACAGGAAGGAGAGAGAGAGAGAGAGAGAGAGAGAGAGAGAGAATCCCAAGCAGGCTCCTGATCAGCAGCACAGAGCCCAGCGCGGGTCTTGATCCCACAAATCTTGAGATCGTGACCTGAGCCAAACCAGGAGGCAGACGCTTAACCAACTGAGCCACCCAGACGCCACTCAGATGAGTCCTTCTTCACCCAAAGTGTACGTCAGAGCCACCCCTTGAGATTTTGGGGAGAAGGTCCTTGAGCCCTCCTAATCATCCTGTGTGGAGTGAGCCTGGCGTCTGTCCTGAAGGGCGCACACATTCCCACGTGCTTCCCAGAGAATCGCCCCCAGTGAGGCCAGGCTACCATCATGGAAGAGTGTGGGCGTCACTCCTCTCCCGCGTCTGTCACACCCTCGGGCGTGCGTGAGGATGCCTCCTGTTTGTTGGATTGGCCTTTCTCACCTTGAGCCCAGAGAGAGGTTGTCCTGGATAAGCCCTCACCAGGGCTTGTCATGAGTAAATAACATTCAGATAGTGGAGGTGGCTTCTTTGAGATACGGTGAGAAGAAATGAGGAAAATTGGCCCAGATCCCACCACGAACTAAGCACATGGATGGCGCTTTCTGCCACTTGAGTCGTGACTAGTTAATAGCCCCCAAAGTGTTCCTCTTGTAAGATTCCACAGTGGTGCCCGGACGGGACAGGCGAGGTGAAGGCACAGTAGGGCGTCCAGCCTCGCACCTCGCTCGCGCTTACTTGCTCAGAAAGGCAGGCTGCTTGTTTTGTTCCAAGCTGAGGACTCATGCAGTTCATTTAGTTGATGAAATCGGGGTGGGATTTTTTCTGCAGAACTCTGTTCCTAAGCTACATTTAGTTCATGGCACTTAAGCCAACCGCCTCGTTAAGTGGAGATCATGAAGAAAGCGTCTGCAGAATAAGGAGGTTCATAATTAACACCAAAAAATGCCAGCACTTTCTCTGCGTGGTCCTCCTCCCCTTAGTTTCTTGTACTTAATTATCTCTTTATTGAGCAGCTAGCACAGAGAGAAACATAAGCACCAAGGAGCGCTGTGTTAAAGGGCTGGGGAAAGCAAGCCACGGCTCCCCTGGTTTGGTACGGCCCAGCCTGCGCGCGGCAGAATCTCTTACCATTTGCCGTCGTCTCGCTGTGAAATAGAATCGAAGGGAACAACATTGGCCAGATGTTTGTCGTCCCGGATCTATATGGTCTTATGATCTCTGACTTCCCTTCCACCCAGCGCAAGCGAGGGTCTGAAGTGACCCTTTCATTTATTTATTTATTTATTTTGCATCTAAATTGCACGGTGCATTGAGCTTAGTGAAAACACGGGGGCATTTACTGATGGAATTGATAGAAACCAATTACTCTCTGCCCGAAGCCCGGCCCGGCCTTCACCCCTATTCATTCTATCTCCTGAGGACAAATCTAGAAGCAGCTTGCGCACAAAGACGGGTGGACATGGGAAGCTGGTTGTCCCTCGCTCCCCTGGCCACCCCCCCCAGCCAAGCAGGTGGGCCCATCCAACATGCATGCGGGGAGGCCACCGTGCATAAGGTCATCCCTCTCGTTTTAGGGGATGGCCCTGGGTCCAAAGAGAAGAGGCAGACCAGCCATCTTCACAGGGGTGGCGGTGGCTTGTCGTCATCAGAAGTTTCTCCATTTACGAAGCCTTCGTTAGCCAGCCGTTTTCCCGTGGGGATTAGCCTGAATTGGCCATGAATCCACGGCTGAGAAAACCACCGCCAGGGCCCTCTCTGCCGATTTCAGGGGAGACCCTGCCTCCTTACCCTTGCCCCTTGAATTCCGCTCACTCGTTGTGATTCCACTCGCCTTGATTGGCCGCCCCCTCCCCAGCCCTGCAGCGCAGAAGTGATTGAGCAGAATCGCCTGCAAATTGCATTGCAAATGGTGCCTATTTTTTTCCGGCAGACCATCTGCTGGAGTCTATTACTCACCATTCCACGGAGCCAACCAGAGAAGCCAGGTGGCTCTGTGTACAGTCACTTCTGAATCACCTCATTCCACACTCACACCTGAAAGTCACTTTGCTGGCTGCTGAAGACGCTGGAAAATTCCAGGCTCTGGAGAGGCAGTCTTCTTTTTTTTTTTTTTTTTAACCTCAGGAGACCTTTGGGCTTCTGTGGGCTCTGGAAAAGCTTCTGAACCCACTCGCGGGACACCCCAAGATGGCAGGTGGGTGGTGGGTGGGGTGGCTGCCGTGCCCCCGGTGGACAGAGGCTAGGCTGGATCCGGGGGCTGGGCTCTTCCTCTGTTGTCCGCTCAGACCCGGGGTGCACTGGGGGGCCGGAGCGCTGGGTCTTGCTTGAGACTCTACCATCCGGTGAGCAGCCAAGTAGGAGGCCTGTGTTGCATTGAGGGGGGTCTCGATGAGCTGCTGGCCGCTGGAGGGCAGCTCCTGGAAGGCAAGGAGGGTCACTTATAAGGAGGATGTCATTCGCTGCTGCCAGTGTCACAGACATGGGGGCTCCTCCCCCGAGAGACCAGGTCAGTGAGTCCCAGGCAGCCCCCACGCCGGGACCGGGGGTGTGCAGCCGCCCCCGTCGCAGGCCTGGACTCCACAGCTGGAGGCAGCAGGGCCCCAGGACGTGGCCTGAGCCCTCGTGTGCAACCTGTGGCCGTCCGATTCCCGAGGCGCTTCCTCTCCAACCTGCCCATCACCCGGGCTGGTCCAGCTCCCTCATCTCCTCCGCGTCTTCTTCCCCCTGTGATCCTCTCCTTCTGCGGCCGGTTGTCCCTGACTTTATCCCAACGTATGCTGCCCCGTGTTGTGTGCGCCCGTTTTCTCAGCGTGATCTCAGCATCCTCATCGCCTTTCCGTCATACGGGCACGTGGAGCTGGGAGACGGTACACCCCTGGTGATAGCCGGCTCAGTGGGACTCGCATTCTGCGATTGCAGAATTATTTTGATCTTTTTTTTTAATTCTTGAGAGAGAGAGAGAGTAAGTGAGCCGGTGAGCAGGGAAGAGGCAGGGAGAGGGAGAGAGGATCCCAAGCAGGCTCCACGCTGTCAGTGCGGAGCCCAACGTGCGGCTGGAACTCACCAACCGTGAGATCGTGACCTGAGCCAAAGTCGAGGGTCGGACGCTTAACTAAGTGAGGGGCACCCAGGCGCCCCTCCTGATCATTGCTTTAAAAACAGATCTGGAGGGAATTCGTTTATGATGCATATGGATCGTGTACAAGAAACAATCCCTCGACCTCGAAGCTGTTTAGCAGCGAGATCGTCCCTGCACCCTGACTTGGTACACTTGGCGAGTGTTGAAGCAGGATAGAATTGCTCCTTCTGGAACAGATCACAGAGCCCACAAAACTCACCCATAGGTAACAACTCTGATTAGCCAAGACACTTGGCTGCGATCACACACAGTGATGGACATTTCTGGGGGAAACCTATGAGAATTATCATCTGCATTCCGCCCCGTTGGATTTGGGGCCATTTTGTTTTGCTGCCTCAGGAAGTGAAATCCATTGTTCCTTTAAGGCTGAGGAGTGTGCTGACCCTTAAACACATTCTCCTTCCACCCGGCTGTTCAGGAGGGAGTATGTGCTTGGGCACGAATCCCCAGGCCGTTCCTGCAGCTGATCTGAGATTTTCCGGGATGTAACCTCCAACACGGCTCCCTTTCTCACTCGGTTCTGCCTTGACGTGCCCTGCTTCTGTGTGGATTGGTTTCCTGTAGCTTTGCTTTTCTAAAGCACCTTAAAATAATAACCCACAATGGCGCAGTAATTCAGTTCAGAAAGCACTTGTTGGGCTCATCGTGTCCAAATTTGTGCAGAGAGAGAGAGAGAGGGGCTCTCCAGACAATGAGCCTCTGTTCAGTTGGACCTTGATTTGGGGGGCTTCATTGTGCTGGGGTTTGGCGGTCAGCGCCAGGCATTTCTTGAGCCCCGGTGGAAGGTAGGCATATCCAGGGCACATGAAGACCACTCGAAGGCTGTAGAAGGTCAGTGTCCCAGGGGGAGTCGTGATTTGCCGGCCAGCCCACATGTGTCCACACACCATCGGCGTGCACTCCGTGTGTTGTCTATCCACATCTCTTCACTCTGTTTTCCCTTAGAGGAGATTTTGAAGACCCACATCGCCCACTGGTGGTCCCCGGACGGCACGAGGCTCGCCTACGCCACCATCAACGACTCCCGCGTGCCCGTCATGGAGCTCCCGACCTACACGGGCTCCGTCTACCCCACAGTGACACCCTACCACTACCCCAAGGTAGGCGACAGGAAACAGTAAGCCAGTTCCGCCCACCCAGGCGACTCCAAACGCGGGGCTGTATCATCAGACGTGTTGTGGGCAGAGCAGTAGACAGACGCGACATTAATTATTTCCCATTACATTGCAGTAAATTCCCATCTTTGCTGAGTTGAAGTTGTTGGCAGGTTTACTCTATTTGAAATAATTGAACCGCCGTTAATCATTTGTCTAAGTTTCATTGGAACCAAAATAAATACATTACCTCCCCTGTGATTCCACGGCAAGGAACTCACACTGCCTGCTGCTGGGGCCCCCTCTCCTCGCGTCCCTATTTTAGGATTTGGCTTCTGGGAGGTCAGAGGGACCTCTGTCTGCCCCCGGCGCCCCGGGTCTGCACTGGGCTGGTTTGTGCTTGGTCGTGTCCTGACCTGGAGTCTCTGATTGCTTCCCAGACCAAGTTGTTGGCACAAAGAGCGGCAGAAGAGCAGGGGTGAGAGGGTGGGGGAGGGGTACAGATGTCTGAACCTTGCTTGGTTGGCAAATCACAGCATCCTGGCACGAAGCGAGGACCTGATGCCAAATGCTCTGCAGCCCCCTCAGCTGACGGAGCGGGCGCAGCGGCCCAGCTGCCCGAGGGCTTCACTAGACCACTCCGGGCCCATGGTGGCCGTGGCCAGGTGGACGTGAGCCATTCACTGCCTGCACCTGCCTGGTGACAGCGCTCACCTCCCACCTGCGGCCGCCTCGGAAGGCCCCCTCAAGCCCGCGCCAGCGAGCGCCGAACCGTGGCTGCCAGGCCGCCCGACCGGCTCCCAGACCAGAGAGCTGACGCCGTGTGCCTTGTGTGCCAGAAAGACGGGGCACGCCAGCCCGCAGATGGCACCGAGAGGGGCAGGGAGGCGCCAGCGAGGCCAGCTAGGCGCCCAGAGTCCTGGGCCAGAGAGGGGAAGCGCCTGGTGGATAGTCAGTGTGGGCCCCGTGCATTCATTGCACACGGCCCTCGGGGCCTCCGGGAATTTCTCTCCTCCTCCCTGTCCAGATCCTTTCCCCTCCCAAGGGGATCGTCGGAAGGCAGTTAGAGGAATGAGAAGCGGGCTGGGTTCCTGGGGAAGGAATGGCCCTTCAGTTACCTCTGGCCCTTCGTGCTGGGGAGGACTTTGCCGCACGAAGGCACCATCCCCACAGGAAGGCTCACTCACACCTGGTCCTTTACTTCCCAGGCTGGATGTGAAAACCCCAGCATTTCCCTGCACGTCATTGGCTTAAATGGACCCACCCACGACCTGGAGATGATGCCACCGGATGACCCACGGATGAGGTTTGCTTCCTTTTCTCCATCGTAAAAAACTAATGAATATTCATGTACGTGGTCTCCCCAGATTTGTTTTACTGCTCATTTAAACATCCAAGAAACAGGGACATTTTCTGAAGCTTTGCCTACTGTTTCATGATTCAGTTTTCTGGAAAGGACAAGTCAAACCTGTGCCATTAATTCTTACCTTAGCCAGGAGCAGGCTGCCGTCCCCGGGGGGCGGGGCACCTCGGCCCGGGGCATGTGAGGTCAGCCACGAGGCTCCGGCTGGGACACGTTGTCCCACACAGGCAGACACTGGAGAATGTCCAGTAGAGGAATGGATGTAGCCTTAACCAAGAAGATCCGCATCATCAGACTTTCTGTAAGTGGCGCCCCATTTAGGAGCGTGGCGTCAGAACATCAGCGGACTTCACCAGCCCCAGGAACTGGCCGGACCCCCTTCCAGTAACGCCCTTCTCCTGGCTGGTAAGGTAACGTGAGAAGGTGGCAGAGCATATTGGCAGAGGTAACTGGCCTGTCAGCCTTGATGTCTGGTTTGGGTAGATTTTTGGTGCAGGGGGAGGTAGGTTTTTGTTTTTTTTTTCAAATCAAAACTACTGAATAGGGTCTATCTAAGGGAAGTGGTCTGAGTATCAGTTTCATCCTGCCCCAAAGTTTGAACAGCCTGGGGACTGAATATACTTCCAGAACCTACTACCCCAGCAGTATACTCCTCTGTGGGGGATATTGATGGGAGACTGAAAAAAAGAGGAGCCCACCGTACGGGCACCAGGACCCGCTCGCTGGAGGATCTCCGTAAGTCTGGATATGGGCCCAGAGAAGCCAAGGACGATTCATTTTGAGACTCAGAGGACGCCCACCCCAAATTTTCCATGACCTCTAGCCCAGGCCTTTACCGTCTAGGTGCAGAACTCCACATTATTAGTAGCTTCTGGCAGCTTCTGGAAGGACAGGAGCCGTGGCCCCACCCACTCCAGCTCGTCCACAGGCCCTGCCCAGGGCCGGGCGCTCAGGCACTGGGCACTGCTGGTCTTCTGTGGGTGGCGTGGCCTCTGGTCTGGATTGGTCTCCTCTGTCATATCAGAGGGTCGCCATGGCCCCTGAGGCTAATGAAGCTGGACTCTGAGCCATCGGTCCCTGGAGTCCCAGGGCCCTTAGTATATGCTGGGTGGGGGCAGGGGGAGGCATTGAATCGACTCGGCTCATACGCTTCTACTGGGGTAGAGGAAAGGTTCAGGTTATTGCTTTGCCTTTTCTCCTGAAGATCCAGTATTTCCCGTTTTCCTCTCAGCCCCCATCCCTGCCAAGCCTCCCGGGGCTGGCCCAGCAGACTCACTGAATTAATATGGAAAGTCACCTGGAAAATTTAAGCCATCTGTTTGAGTTAATTGAAAATCTCATTTAGTCAATTTGGTGATGCTGTTTCCGCAGGCTTGATTAGCTTCAAGGACAATGAAAAATTAGCCTCAGTCCGGGCTTGAGGTTCAGACGCTGGCTTCAGGTTTTCTGCTCTGACTTCCTGCAGTCAGGCTCCTCACGCGCAATAGAAATCTGTCATATGTAAACGTCACGCTTTCTTGTTCTCTCTCTGTCACACAGCCTTGAGATGTTTTCCAAAGAGAGCACAGGTATATCAGAAGTCATACCATGAATTATGAGTGAATGTTTATTGGGCATTTAGTTTGCCAGCCATCGGGGTGACCGCCACAGGCATCATGGGGAACGAGAGGTGGAGTGGACAATGTAGGGCCCGGGGTGTAGACTGAACAAATCATCACGAACCAGTGAATAACCGCAGGCGTGCCAAGGGCCACCAAGAGCACGGGGGGTGGGGAGGGGGCCGAGCTACCGTGCGGGATGACCGCGTCCCTCTCAGCCTCTGCACTGGGACACGTGGAACCTGATGACTCAGGGTGGGGGCACTGCGGGTGTTTAGAAGAGCCCCCGCCCCACCCCTCAGACACCAGTAGCACCCGCCCTCAGTTGTGACAGTCCTCAGTCTTTGCCAAATGTCCTCACATGGAAAACTATTGGCTCAGAGTAAAGGATCTCAAGCCAACGTTTGCATTCAAATCTGAGTCCTGGGGCTCTGGGGAAGGTACTCAAACACCTGCCTCAGTTTCCCCATCTGTAGAATGGAGATACACATTACTGATAGACGCGGTTGTAAAAATCAAATGAAACCGTGCAGGCGGCACACCACGGACCATACGGCCAGTGCTTCCTGCGGGCTGGCTGGCACCCTTCCCCTTCGGAGCTCGGCCTCGCCTGTCCTCCGGACCCCGCATCTCCGCTGGAGCTGGTCCGGCGGGGATCCTCCGGGCAAGGTGAATGAGCACGTGTGGAAGGTTTCGTTTAGCTCATTAGCTCGTAAGGGAGCCAGCGAGGTGTTAGACCCAGTCTTGTTAGCATTCGCGAAGCCAGGCGTGTGTGACCCGTGTAACGGAGAGGCGCGGGGGCAGGCTTGCTGGGTAACGGGCGAGCAGGGGCCTGGACTGCGACTGTGGGGGAGCCGAGCCCCCTGCGGACACCCAGAAGGGCGTCGGCCCCGGCACTGTCCCCAGTCCCTCATAGGCCACGCGCGGGGCCGCGCTGGAAGAATACCGCGAGGTCCCGTCACCTCCTCCCAGGTTCCAGATAAACTTTCTGAGAGCCTCTAAATGCCCACAAAGTGGACGCGGTCAGGACAGACCCCCGGCCTCCTTCCACAGTCCTGCGGCCTCGGGTCAGAGCGCCTTCGTCCCCCGCGTGCTCAGGCCTCTGACTTTCCGGGGGGCGGGGGGGCCTTGCCCTGGAGGGCGGCTCCTCCCTCGCGTCTCCTGGTGACCGCGCTCGGCTCTCCTGGACCACGGGCTTCCGGCCCTCCCCGCCCCTGCAGCCCCCCCAGAAAGCCGCAAGCTGCCAGACCGCCTCTTCCCTCCCTGGCCTGCTGCTGGCTGCGCTCACGATCCTTTGTTCCCTTCACATCATTAGCTGCTGAGGTCTGTTCTTCCACAGCGTTAACATGTTCGAGGCGCTTCTGCTAGAAACGTGCTCTGGGCGAGTAGCGCCAGGCAGGTCACGAGCCCACAGGGGCCGAAAGCAGCTTCTACGTCAAGAAAGACACACCTCGTCTTTCTTGGTTTTTCCGAGGACCCCACCTGCCTGCCCACGCAGGAGCCACTGCACTTCATCCCACCTCTGTAGCCCTTCGCAGATACGCTGGGCTCCCCCTCAGGTCACCCACACCTGCGCTCCGTCTGCCTGGGAAGGGCCCCCGCCTGGCCGGGGGGAGCACCCACGCGCTGTCCGTAGGTCGTGATCAAAGTGCTCCTCCCTGAGCGCCTCCCTAGCGGCCGTGCTGGAGTCACAGCCCCGCTCCCCCCTCTCCGGCCGTCCCTTCCTTCCTGGGATTATCCCAGCGGGATGCTCTGCGTGCTGGGTGCCGTGTGTCCCCTGCCTGCCCTCCCGGCTGCAGCAGGGCCCGTGACGCAGGACACGCTCAGGAAACCTTTGTTGACTGGGCCGCTGAGCTGAACAGGCAGCCAGTGAAATCCTCCATCAACAGGATCCTCGACGGCCCAGAGTTCTTTGGTTGTCTGGAACCTTCTGAGGACCAAACCTTTGGAGATGTGTGGCCGTTGACGACATCGCACCGTCTGCACTACCGGACGCGGTCGGGAGGCAGAACTTCGGCTGGGACTCTGACCAAAAGGAAGAGTCACGAAATCAGTTTATTTACACGTGCGGAGCGCATTGCGCAGCGACCATCTCGCGGAAAAGTAACTCAAAGCTGCAGTGCAGAACTGCCGCGCCTATAGCATCTTCACCCGGAGCAGCAAGTCTGCAGAGAATTAGCCGGACGAAGGGGCGCAGTTCTAGGTGTTCGAGGCCAGCAGATCGTGGGAGGCGGCTCCCAGAGGAAGGAGCGTTTGCGGATTCCGCTGGCGCGTCTCTGGGCTGAGAGCCTGTCTCCAGCAAAAGGAGAATTTTTTCCGCCTTCTTTCTGGGTTTGCTCCTTCTTTGTTGCCTTCAGCTCGAAATAATTTTTATGTCAAAAAGGCATATCTTGGGACAACATATTCTGGTTTCCTTCAACTAGTCTAGGAAACGTGAAAATAAGACCCTACAGGGTGGAGGCTTATAGGGAGGAGGGAGGGAGACCCACATTCCCCAAGGACCCAGGTGGGGAGAGACAACAAAGAAATATATCATACTACAAAAATTAAGTCCCACAGAATAGGCATCAATTCTTTTTCTCTAAGTTTATTTATTTTGAGAGAGAGAGAGAGAGCAAGCGGGAGGAGGGGCAGAGAGAGAGTCCCAAGCAGCCTCCGAGCTGTCAGTGCAGAGCCCAGGGTGGGGCTCGAACCCTGGAGCCATGAGATCATGACCTGAGCCGAAATCAAGATTCAGTTGCTCAACCAACTGAGCCACCAGGCGTCCTGACATTGATTCTTTTAGGAGTTTTGCCAAAGAATCGAGAAGTCCTTTCCAGAGAGGAGGGTCTCCGGGTGGAGGGTTTGTAGGTGCGGCAGGATTTGGGATATTCCAGGATCCAGTCTTAAAGAGAAGCAGGAGAGCACAGGGGTCCCTGCCTAGAGTGGGGGGCCCTGAAGCGCCGCCAGTCGTGTGCTGTGGACTGAATTGTAAAGCCGTGACCTCAGGGCTATCTAGACTCTGCTCCCTCCAACTGGGCTTCTAGATTTGCTGGCGGGTTTTCACTCTTGCTTTTCCTTCTGCCCGTCTCCCCGGGAACAAGGACATGGACTTATACCGTGTACAGGACAGTGTGTGTCCTGGGCGGCCCTAAGGGCTTCCACAAGCTGTACACATCTGCCCCCATTCCCCAGATGTGGAGACTGAGGAATGCAGAGTTTAAGGAAGGTGTCTGAATCCACACAGAGTGTGGGAGGGGGTGCTGGGCCTCAAGCCAGGGGGGCTGGACAGCCTCACCTCCCTGAACAGCCTCCAGAGAGGTGTGGAAAATTCTGGAAGGTCCACCGGTCGCTTTCAGCAAGCCG